GAATTAGAATTAGAATTAGATTTTTATTGTCACACCTTCTCAGTGAAAAGTATACAAAGTTGCTCTTCTCTGGCGCTATCTTGGGTACAAAACCAGAATTTTTAAAAAATCAACAGAAATAAAAGAAAGCCAAAAGATAAGAAATAAGTTCAGATCTTAAAGTCTAAGTCTTAACTCCATTAAGGTTTTTGGAACCACCAATGCAGGAACCCGGGCCTAGCCACCATCTGAAGTCTCGGTCATCCTGTATCGCATCAATCACCAGGAGGTGCCACATTCTTGCTGCCTCTTAACACTGCTGCCATTCCACACATGGCCCACTCTCAACACTGTGCCGAAGCTGCTGACTAACCCATTGTAAAAGACTTTTTTTAAAAAATGACAAAGAAAGCAAGAAAAGAAGAGCAAAAGTAAAAAGAAGAAAAAAAGAAAGCGGATGGAAGCGGATAAATCCTGGGCTCAGGAGCCCACAGACAGCTCTGCTACCCCACTGCCATCTACACAGACAACTGGGTAAGTGCAGTGTCTCCAGTGAGAAGCAGCATCCACAGAAAGATGGTCACTGACCTTTCACAATCCACAAGGGTAAGTACCACCATTGTCTCTCTGCTATGGAAGAGACCACATGTTTTTCATTTATTGGACTATAAATTGAAATGGAAATTGGACTGATATAACTGGAATACCAGCAAAGTTGTTTGCAACTTGAAAATTAAGTGTTGATTATTTTTATTGAGCTATACAATACAATATTACTTTTCAGAAGCAACAAGAGGAAAAAGTTGAGACAGAAAGGCAGCAAGAATCCTTTGAGCTAAGGAAATGTGCTCTGCTGCCAGCCCTCTGATTTCTTCAGCTGCAGTGTGATAAAAATCCACTAAGTGCCAAGAGAGTGGATAACATCTGGAGCTGGATGACAGACGTTAGCTCACACTCACTTTCTTTCATTCCCCATGAGGGGAGAAAGATAGAAAATCCCAGCAAACTTGAAGGAAAGAAATCAGCCAAGCAAAGACCCAAGACCACCTGCTCAGTCATCAAATTGAAGATGACTATCACAGGTCAGAAAACACTGCCTCATCGCTGCAAAGATCAAAAAGAGTGCAAAAGTAAAAGGGCTTTCCACCTTGTAGTCTAGACATTAGATCTTCAAAATTTCATTTACCCTGTTTATATTCTCTCAACCATAGAATATGTGTTAAACCATTGTCTTTTGTTTGTGATCAAATGTATGTGAGGGGGAGGAGTGGAAGAGGCATAGTTTAGGTTGCACAAATTATTTCATTTTAAATAAAATAATTTATTGCTCTGCTCTTGCTAAAGCTCTGTGTTACAACAAATATAGTTTTTACTGTGTTACAATAAATATAGTTTTTACTGTTACTGAAGAAAACTGGGTGTGGTTTACTTTTATATTGGGTAGCAGTCAGTCAGACAAATTGTTCTATGATGGTCTTATTTGAATTTTTATACATTTATATGTTTTGTAATGACTTGCAGAACAGTGGGACATGACAATTAGTGCACTCTTCCCAGTTAAGTCATGATAGCAAGTGCACATTCATCTAACTCTGCCACTGTACACACCTCCCACCAGGCTAATGAATTACTGCTCTCAGTATTGCATGCAGCACCTTCATTCAATGGCTCTTAATCTACTTCATCCTCCCTTCCTGCCCTCAGCACTTCCTATTCATTCACTGGGGAGACCTCACCGCTTCTCCTACTCCAGCACTAACTGCTCTTCCAGTTAGTTTCACCCCCCTCAATTCCTTTTCTTTTATAAAAATGTCACACAACAGAACTAAGAGGGCAATGACAGGTGGCAGGGTCATTGACTTTCATGTCCTCACCTCCTACAAGGAGAAGATCCTCAAACTCGCTGGAGAGAATCAAGACTGCTTATATGAGGATAGTCATACATTCATGTTAAGGCAATCCAATAAGCTGCGTTGTGTTGTGCTGCTCTCCCATTACCATCATTGTGAGCATACTCTTAACTTGCCACTCCTATTGCGCAACCAACAGCCTCTTTCCATTTATTCTGGCACCAACGTAGTTTAGAGATAGGATCTCAACAGTGTGGAAGCAGGTCATTCAGCCCATTAGGATCACACTGACTCTCTAAAGAGCACCCCACCTCAATTCATCTCCCTATCCTATCTCTGTAACCCTGCATTTCTCATTGCTAACCCACCTAGCTTGCACATCAACGGCAATTTAGCATGGCCAATCCACCTAACCTGCTCATCTTTGGATGGTGGGAGGAAACTGGAGCAAGCCCACACAGGCACAGGGAGAATGTGCAAACTCCACACAGATAATCATCTGAGGTGGAATCGAACTCAGGTCACGTGGCACTGTGAGGCCGCAGTGCTCACCACTGAGCCACTATGCCACCTTAGAAGAGTTTCTGCCTGAAAGAGGCTAAACGTCAACCCATCAGCTCCTCCTCCACCTCTGAGAAAGAAGCCACACATCCTTTAGAGGGGGCATCAGCAAGGCTTTCTCCTGCACCCTCCAGCAGCTCAATCTGTTCGCAACTTAAGTTGCTGTCACCTGTTGTAGATGTGACATTGATATAGCACATACAGCAACATGTCTGCCCCTTTGACTGTTCAGTGCCAGCAAATATGACAGGCTGCCTGGTTGTCTGCGCAATAAGGCAGAGATGCTTTGAGTGTCGAAGTAAGTGCAAAGCCATTGGGCATGAAGAAGGCAATCTAAGGGCCATAAGCTGTATCCTGTGCAGATGCATGAGATGGGTGTTTGTCACTGCAACCTGGCAGGAACATTGTATTACATGATGAGCTCCAAAGTGCAGCGGTGAAACACTGAGGTGTCTTTTGAGTGAGTCCCAAGATCAGCCACAATGATGTGTTGAGACTGGTGTTTTTATTGTTGCTTACATCTGTGGTTTAAGGATGGAGCTGCCCATGGAGTATGCCATGAGATGTTGGTGAATGAAGGCAAACATGAATTCCTGGAGATCTAATCAGTAAGCTTCATCCACTAGGTACTATCTGACATTCAAACCGGGAATCAGTACCTTCTAGTTTCTCATCAGTGCCAGGGCGAATCATGAACAATGAAATGAGATGAGATTGGTTAATAATGGGATGATAATTCATAAAAATCAGATCCTTCCCACTTACTAACAATATTGTCCAAGTTAAAGCACTGAGCATGGTGGCTCAGTGGTTAGCACTGCTGCCTCACAGCGCCAGGGACCTGGGTTTGATTCCACACTCGGGTGACTGTCTGTGTGGAGTTTGCACATTCTCTCTGTGTCTGCATGGGTTTCCTCTGGGTGCTCCAGTTTCCTCCCACAGTCCAAAGATGTGCAGGCTAGGTGGATTGGCCATGCTAAATTGCCTGTAGTGTTCAGGGATGTGTAGATTAGGTCAGTTATAGGGGGATGGGTCTGGGTGGGATGCTTTGAAGGTCAGTGTGGACTTGTTAGGCCGAAGGGCCTGTTTCCACACTGTAGGGATTCTATGATGATCTAAAACCATAAAGACAAAATCAGATTTTTCTTTCCTCAACATCAAGAGTCTGAATTTTTCATTCTTGCCATCTGCTCCCAGATTTCTCATCGACACACCTCAAGGGGTCTGATTGGCAATGCCTCTACATACTCTAGAGTGAAAGGACATAGCTTTAGGCTAAGGGGTGGCAGATCTAAAATGGAGATGAGGAGGAATTACTTCTCACAAAGGGTCATGAATGTGTGGAATTTACCACCCCAGAGTGGACGTTGGAGACTGAATAAACTTAAAGAAGAGACAGACAGATTTTTAATTTGTAACATGTTAAAGGGTTATGAACGGTATGAACGGAACGGTAAGAAAACTGGAGTTGAGGCTGAGATGAGATCAGCCATGATCTTTTTAAATGGCGAAGCAGTTTTGAAGGGCTGAATTGCTTACTCTTGCTCCTATCCCAATCAGCACTCTCCTCTCATACATTACAAATAATGTTTTTCCTTTCCTTTGGTATTTGCATTGAATTTTCCAGTGTTTGGAAGACGAAAGGCTTTGACAAGATGTCTTTTTCTCAATCAATGTATCAATTGTTAATATTTTTCATGCCCATTAGTGTTTTAAAGTTTCTTTTTATTCCTTTTATTTCACTTAGTGTGAAACAACAAACTGTCTCAGGCAGGTTCCTCAACAGGAAATATACTGTTTTGCAATTTCATTTGATTCACACGACAACCTAATGGAAACAGTTTGCAATTCATGTAATTAGAGATTGATGTTTCAATTGAAACAATAGTATTTCAAATAGAGCATTGTTTGTTTATCTGTTGACAAATTGTGATTAGGAGGAATAGGTTAATTTATGTTTATATTCAAGAACAACAGAAAGGTTAACTTGATGGAAACCAATTAGCATTCCCAGAAGAATTGGATCATCTTTCAAGAAAGATCTTTATATTTCAAGACTGTCTCATCCTACCCAATTTACCCAATTATTGTAACCACAGCACAATTTCACTCATTGACCTTCTGCCCTTTCATCATGATTGACAATGGCATTCTAAGAATACTGCATACATTCTGGGATATCCTCAATTTAAACAAAAATGTTAATCCTTACATTCTGAAAGATCCTTCCAGCAAAGATAATACATTCAGAGATTCTGGTAGAGGCAGATGTCTATCCTTAAGTAACACTCTGAGCCTCAAAGTTCCAATACAACAGACTGATTAATGAGCAAGATAGCTGAAAACACCTCAAAACCCGGTGATTTCAAACAGCATGCCCTTCCTCAAGACTCAAGCTCTGGAAAGGAGAAAGGTAAGGAACATCAAATTGATAGTCTTTTTTTGTCAAGCTAATTAAAATCTGGCAATTACTATCACTCACACAGATGAATTCAATTGAATAGCATCTAAGAGAACTCTGAGTTTACACAAGTCATCTTGATTGCTTAATTTTGAGAACAGCCTTTATTGTAACATGCACTCGAATGAGTGCAGTGAAAAGCTTATAATGTCACCTCTCTGTGCCATCTTAGGTACCTAGGTACAGCTACTTTAAATTTTTTTTAGAATTTTAAGATTCCCTTTGTGATGTTTTAAGCTTGCATTTATTGACTACAGGATTTCACTTGCAAGACTGGATTGTCATCTTTTGAATAATTAAAGTAATTTTGTTGTAATGTTGCTAAGTGAAACACATATATTGAGATATACTTGTATACAACGTTGTACCTAAAATGATTTAGATGACACTGACTTTAAAGAGTTAATTTTTCTTTGTAATCTCGCTGAAATCAGGCAGAATCATACCAGAAATATCAGAAAAGTGCGGCAATGAGGGATTTAATAGTAGCTTGATTTTGCATATTTGAGACTGCTTCTCCCGACAATACATACTTTTGCAGTCTTTTGTCTCAGGTGACAGCTACAATTTCCACAGCTCTGTCTTATTCAAGTATCTTCAAACCCTTAGCAGTCCCTCACTAACACTGTGTGCTTTCCTGGTATCCTTACTGCAGAACTGGAGCACTACCAGATTTCCCCAACTTGTACAGCTGGGCCCTCTTTCAACAGGCAAAGTACAACTTTAAGTAAGTTTCTTTTGCTCAAGCATCCAATATGTAACCTTGAGAATATATTAACTTTATTACCATCTATGCTAAGTAATGTAATGCTAGTTTCTCTGCTTCTAGAAAACAATCAATAAATTGAGTATCATTCATTGAATAACTTCAGCCTGAATTGTCCTGGCTTTATGTTTTTCTATTTTTTCCAATGAATATTTTTGAATATGAATTATATTTGAGTGGTGTGCTTTAAATGAAATTGTGTTTGCACTATTTTGTTTTTGTTTTCCTTACAGGCACATACTCCTGCCTGTGAAAAAGGGGACCATAAGACCGTAAGGTAAAGGAGCAGAATTAGACCATTCAGCTCAGTGTGTCTGCTCTGCAACTCGATCATGCCTGATATGTTTTTCAATCCCATTCTCCTGCCTTCTCCCTATAACCCTTGATCCCCTATACTAATCAAAAACCTATCTATCTCTGTCCTAAAGACACTCAATGACTTGACCCCCACAGCCTTCTGAGGCAGTGAGTTCGACAGATTCACCATCCTCTGGCTGAAGAAATTCCTCCTCATTTCAGATCTAAAGGGTCATCTTTTCACTGAGGCTGTGCCCTTAAGTCCTAATCTCCCCTACTAGTTGAAATGTCTTCTCCACATCCACTCTAGCCTGGCCTCTCATTATCTGTAAGTTTCAGTTAAATACTCTCTTATCCACCTAAACTCTATCGACCCAGAGACCTCAACTGTTCCTCATGACAAGCTCTGTACTCCCAGGATCATTCCTGTGAATCTCTTCTGGACCCCTTCCACATCCTTCCTTAAATGCGGGACCCAAAACTGCTCACAATATTAAAAATGCAGTCTGACCAGAGTTTTTTACTGCCTCAGCAATGTCTCTCTTTCTTGCATTCTAGCCCTTTTGAAATGAACGCTAACATTGCATTTGTCTTCCTAATCACCAACTAAACCTGCATATTGACCTTAAAAGAATCTTGAACTAGGATTCCTAAGCCACTCTATGCTTCAGATTTCCAAAGGCTTTCCCCAATTATAAAGTAGTCTATGCCTCTATTTTTCCTGCAAAAGTGCATAACCTCGCACTTTTCCATATTGTATTCCATTTGCCACTTCTTGCCCACACTCCTAGCCTATCCAAGTCCTTCTGCAGCCTCATTTCCTCAAAACTACCTGTCCCTCCACCTATGTTTGTGTCATCTGCAAACTTAGCAACAATGCCTTAATTCCTTCAGCCAGACTGTTAACGTATAACTTGAAGAGTTGTGGTCCCAACACTGACGCTTGTGGAATTCCACTCGTTACCGGCTGTCTTCCTGAAAAAGACCCCTATATCCCCAGTCTCTACCTTCTGCCAATCAGCCAAACCTGTATCCATGCCAATGCCTTTCCCCTAAAACCATGGGCTCTTATCTTATTTAGCAGCGTCTTATGCAGCACCTTGTCAAAAGCCTTATGGAAATCCACATACAACATATCCACTGGCTCTCCTTTATCGAACTTGCCCATTACTTCCTCAAATAATTCTAATGGGTTTGTCAGGCATGACCTCCCCTTGAGCAAGCCATGCTGACTATTTTACCACGCACTTCCAAATACTCAGCAATCTCTACCTTAATGATGGACACTAAAATCTTACAACAGCCGAGTTCAGGGTAATCGGCCTATAATTTCCTGTCTTCTGCCTCCTGCCCTTCTTAAAGAGGGATGCTACAATACCCATTTTCTAGTCCTCTGGGAATCTCCCTGACTCCAGTGATTTTTGAAATATCGCTACCAATGCTTCCACCATCTCCTCAGAACCCTAGGGTATGGTCAATCAGGGCCAGGTGATTTATCCACCTTCAGACCCTTCAACTTCACCAGCACCTTATCCTTAGTGATGACCACTTTACTAACCTCTAGCCCCTGACTCTCTTGAAGTTCTTATATGCCACTAGGGTCTTCCACCATGGAGACTGATGCAAACTTCCTATTCAATTTCTCCATTTCTTTGTTCCCCATTACTATTTCTCCAGCATCATTTTCTAGCCGTCCAATGTCCATGTTTGCCTCTCTCTTACTTTTTATATATCTAACACAAACCTTTGCAATCTTCTTGTGCATTACATGCTAGTTTACCCTCATATTTTACCTCCTCCCCACTTTTTGCTTTTTTAGTTTTCCTCTGGTTTTTAAAGGCTTCCCATTCCTCTGGATTCCCACTCATCTTCACCATATTGCATGCATTTTCTTTTGCTTTCATGCTGTCCCTAACTTTCTTTGTCAGACATGGTTGCCTCACCTTCCTCTTAACATGTGTCTACTTCCTTGGAATGAATTTCTGCTGTGCATTTCAAATTACCCCCAGAAACTCCTGCCATTGCTGCTCCACATTCCTCCCTGCTAGAGGTGGTCTTCAATGTCTCTGCCGGTTTTTAATTGGCTGATCCAAATTGAGAATCAATTATAGAACTCACGTATTTGATTGAGTCAATGTGGGGCAGGAAGGAGGATTGACTGGTTTGGTAGGTTCTCAAGGTGAAAGTTACCTTTGACGTATTTATGTATTAGTAGACCACGTGTTAAAGACTTGTTTGCACATTCTAAAGCTTCCTGTCGGGATAATGGGAATGTCCTATTTTTTATAGTCTAGGACATCAATCTGCCATAATTTCAATTTATTAGAGTTGGCGGCAGAGGAGAGTGTGGATAGTTATGAGTGCTGCAATGGTGACAGGAAGATTGTCAGTTCAATTCATGCAGAGGGATTGTCATTAGAGCCCTTGATCACATTCGTCATATACTTACATATTATGCAGAATGAATATGTGAGTGAAATTAGATGTGGGAGCTGCTTATCGGAGAATATCTAGGGCAGAGTGAACATTTGTAATATTTATCTAACTAGCAAAAGCTTTTGGCCTATGGGAAGCCATATAAGCAAATGTATGCATCTTATTAAACTCTAATTATAAAAGTTAAATTCCAGTCCACTTTTACCACGTGCGTTAGGAAATGGGAGGGTTTGTCTGAAAACCTGCAACTCATCTAGGCTTTGTATTAGAATTTCCAATATAATATTTTTTACAGATTTGAGGCGATCTGGTGTTGATTTATTCTCTACTATTGTCTTCCATCAACTTTCCATCATGATTCTCCTTTACACAACATCTCATGTTTTCTGCCCTTGTTCCTGGACTGAATTGTTTCATATTTTAGCTCTGTGTTATTTCATAGTGGTACTAAATTTAAACCCCAATTGCACACCACCTTCAAATGGTGAAAGTCAGGGGCTGCCCTTCATAGTGTGCCCCTCCACCATTTTTTGGTATGACATAGTGCTGAAAGGGAAGTTGGCAGCCCATTGTAGAAAATCAGACACCTCACAACCTCTGCACCATTCCTAACGTTACTCCATCCACTTTAATCTCACTAAATCCCCCTTTTTGTTTCACTGAGGAAAAAATGTCTCAAAACCGGGTAGAGAAGGGCAGTGTGAGAGGCAGTGTACGTGACACTTGGTAAATGCTCCTGCTTTGAAAGAAGATCCTTAGGAAAGTACAGAGACCACTTGTATGGGATGCTGAGGTCTCGATGTCAAGGCAGCCCAGTAGACTTCAATATGCAGTTCTAGGCTGTTTTCTCATCACTACTACTGTTAATGTACTATTAAGGTGCTCCAGCTTCCATCCCTATTGCATTGCGAATGGCCTATCTTTTCTTAAGCAGACAATATTGGCACCCATACAGCCACTGACCCATACAGGTCAGCCTCTCCGCGGCTACTTCTAAGGAAGAAGCCACAGGTTGTCTCCTGCACCCTTCACCAGCTCAGATACTTTTACCTTGGCATATTCTCTTTTGAGATTAGACTCAAGCAAAATCTGGTGAATGCATTACTGGCATGTCTCCATAGCTGGTTGAGAAAGAAATGCCCCAGGTCACTGGAACTTGGAAGAGACAAGGCATCTGCTCAACCCTGGGCAGGAGAAGAACCTCATGATGTCAGCCATTAATGACCTTGTTCAAATGCATAGACAGTCATAGGAAGGTTTGTCAGAAACAGTAGGAAAACCAAATTAGAGGTTGGAAGCGTCTGTCACCTTTATTGATTAAGATGCCATGTGTGCATCTGGTTGTCTTCATGAGTAGGTTGGCAACTGCCATGGAAATCTAAGTCCAGCAGATTGGTCATTGGCTGCTAAAATAGACACACACCTGCATTTTAACATCAGCAGCAAAGCAAGAGAGGGACAAGAGATCCTGACCTCACGCCTTGTGCCATTTCCTCTCAAGGAGATTGTATGGTGCTGTTAGACAACCAGAAGGAAGAGAACCTACACACAGGCCGTGCCAGTAGAAGTTTCATCTCCAAAACCCCAGGGATGCCTGGCATGTCCATCTCCACCATGCCTGTGATCTTCAACCAATTAGAGGTTGCAGCCAAAGAAGGCAAGCCTGGATCTGAGCAAGACTCTTCTCAGCATAGCTGGGCCCCTTAGTCAAAAGCTCCCCCAGTGTCATCCACCCAAATCTTCAAGGCCAACAGGGTCAACTAGAGAGCAGGTATCTGCCAACACAGCAAACCGCAAAACTATATCTCAAGTAGTGGGAGAGACTAGAAAAAGAGCACTGAGGACACATGAGTAGTACAGGTGGCACATCATTGTATATACATTTTTATCTCTGTAAATATTTATACTCTTTCAATTATTACATGTCTGATTGACTGTCATCTTGGCTGTAGGATCTGATTACATGTCCACCCTATCAGAATTGAGGAGCCTCTTCTTACATCTCAAAGAGGACAGAAAGTATATTGTGAGGCATTGATCATCTCTAGGAAGCTTCCCAGAAAACATGAGATTTTGGAGATCCTTCAGCCCTAATGTTCATGACTGAAGCCAAGACTTAGCACTTTAATGAGGAGATCACTGGGCCAAAGGTCATGTGAAAACATTGTGCAGGTCCGATATCCTTTATCTGCACATCTGAAAACTGCAGGAGCCTTTCAAAAGCGGACCCAGACAGACCTAAACAGATATGTAGGCACAGTGAGAGCAAGCCCTTTAGATAAAAAAAATTCACGTGGCCCAAATTAATGCAAACAGACCCAAACAGACATGTAGTGGACCTAAGTGTGTCCTGGTCAATTCAAGTCTTTTAGTGATTGTTTTGGGCCTGATTTTTTTCTCCTCTGACAAGTTATTTATATAAATTTATCCACACAATGTGATCGATAATCGTTGGGGACAGCCATCAGAAGAAGTAATGACTATTTTGAATTATTTAACTGATCCATTAAGCATGGCAACAAAGATTTCCCAACACAGTCAGAA